CGGCATTGGCCGGTAGATGGAATTCGGAGGAGGCCTAGTCTGTGGGATCTAATAGGTCTAACTATAACATCTATCCTATTGCAACTCTATGCCACCATATTGTGTTAATTTCATCATGGTTTTACCCTAATTTAATACTTAATCTCATTTATTGTATTGTCCATATGCTTTACATGCATGTATATGGTGATGCTCTATTTAAATTCATGTTTGTGTTTGTGCATATGTGTTTTATTAGTGTTGTATTATATCAGGGACTGTATGACCTCTGTTGATGCCATATGCTAAATAAGTAAAATAAAATGATGCATTTAAAAAAAAACACCAAATTACACTGAATACTAATTATTCTTTCATAAACAACATTTTACCAAATTGTAGTTGTGATAAGAAGCTCTTTTACTACTATCTAATAAACAGTATCTAATGTATAAAATTTGTTTTCAAAACCACTGCATTCTATATGTTACATTCTGTTAAAATACAAGTTTTTTCATATAAAAGCTATAATATAATAGTTTCACAGTTCATTTCATATTTTCTAATTAATTGATCTATGAAATTTATGTCATAATTTCAATTCCATGGAAGTCAGTGGTCTTGGATTTTGGATACATTCTGAAAATTAGATTACTGGAAATACTGTGGTTGAAAAATATTGCCTTATTAGACACTATTTTGCCCAGTTAAAGATTACAGATATGCGAGTTTTAGTAGCATATAGACAGACAGATGGTAACTCCAAAAAGAATTTTTGTTTGTATGGGCACTAAAATGATGTAAAATGATTCCTTCACTGCTATATCACTTCTCACAATTCTTTGATGGGATTTTAATATTGCATTATTTTTCAACGTAGGCTGGCAAATAATTTTGATTTTGTAGACTATTCAGAGGCTGCTAGGACTTCAAGAAACACTGGTTTATAATGTTACTTGAAACTGTTACTGCAACAAATATTTAATAATAGCTACTAGTACCTTTCATGTTCACCCAAGTCAGATAGAAGTTCATCAATATGTTTATGCAATTCATTTCCTTCCAGGTTTTTTAATTTCTTCAGTTCACTCTGGAGAAAAAACCAAAACTCTTTGACTCCATTTTCAATCCTTCTTCTTAGTATTTCATGGTCTTTTCCAAAGCCCACTAATAAAATAAAGGAAAGTGAACAGCAATTAACATTATTAATTCTCTAAACAGAACACACGTTGTGAAATTGAGTACTCATCTAAATATAAAAAAATGCTCTCCTATACAAACCATCTCCTGTTTGTTGTTTGTAATTTTCCATCTGTTCTTTGGCTTTTATTAGCTGTTCTTCTAAAGCATGTACTCTTCCTGCAGCAGGACCCTGATCAATAGAACCATCTGGTATCCTATAGCAAAAGTAAAAGTGTGTGAAAAAAATTAAATGGACACATACAACTGCATTATTGATAGTTCTGTATGTTAAAAGCTGCAAGAATTAGTACTGCAATTAGGAAATTACCCAATAAATTTTAAAAATATGTAGCCCAATAATAAATTGCAATATGGTAATCATATTGTCACAGGAGTGAGCAATTTGTACATATTATATCCCAGCCTAAATAAAGTTTTGTTTTGTCCAGCACCACATCTAGAGACTTCGGTCTCACTATAAATGGACAAGAAAAGAGAATTATTCATTTAGCACAATAAAATATGAGGAAAGGATACAACTGCCACTCCTTTTTATAATTGTATGCAGGATGAATATCACATACTGAACAATTTAGTTCAATACAAAAGAATGTCATCCTCCCACATTTTGATACAATTTCCAAATTTGCAATATCCAGATATACACATATCACAAGTAACCTCTCTATTGGACAAACTTTCTGTAGACGGTTATGTGCTATGAACCCTGTAGTCCCAAATGCTTCAATTCATTCAATTCTGATTCACATACATTCATAAACTAGAACTTAAGTGTTATATTTGGCTTTATTATTCTTATTTGAAATTTAGTAAGGAAAACTTCCCAGATATTATGAATTAGAAGCTGGAAACTACATTTAGTAGCTGAAACACTCAGCCAAATACAAATAGAATCCCAAAGTAATAAAACTTCATCTGGGTTAAGAAAAAGGTTGTTCTCATCCATTTAAAATGAAGGAATCAAATTTAATAACCTCCAATCCCTTGAAGCCCTACAACACCTTCTAGAATTAACACCAAAAATGATGTCCTTATCATCATGGGGGTTTGGAATGCTAAAAGTAGGAAGCCAAAAGATAACCGGAATAACAGTTTGGCCTTGGAGTACAAAATGAAAGGGCACAGGCTGATAGAATTTTGTCAAGAGAATATGATGGTCATAGCAAACACTCTTTTCCAACAACCCAAGAGATGACTCTACACATGAACATCACCAGACAGTCAACACAGAAATCATATTGATTATGTGCTCTGCAGCCAAAAATGGAGAAGCTCTATACAGTCAGTAAAAACAAAACCAGGAGCTGATTGTGGCTTAGATCATGAGTTCTCATTGCAAAATTTAGGCTTAAATTGAAGAAAATAGGGGAAAGCACTAGGTTACTCAGGTATGAACTAAATCATATCCCTGATGAATATACAGAAGAGGTGATAAATAGATTTAAGGAATTAGATCTGATAGACAGAGTGCCTGAAGAACTATGGACGGAGGTTCGCAACATTGTACAAGAGGTAGCAACTAAAACTAAAAGCTTTACAAATAGCTGAGGAAAAAAGGGAAGCAAACAACAAGGGAGAAAGAGAAAGTTACACACAATTGAATGCAGAATTCCATAGAGTAGCTAGAAGAGATAAGAATGCCTTCTTAAATGAACAGTGCAAATAGAAAAAAACAATAGAATAGGGAGGACCAGAGATCTCATCAAGAAAATTGGAGATATGAAGGAAGTGCTTCATGCAAAGATGGGCATGACAAAGTATCAAAATGGCAGGGACCTAACAGAGGCAGAAGAGATTAAGAAGAGGTGGCAAAATTACACAGAAGAACTATACAAGAACGAGTTTACAGTCCCTGATAACCATGATGGAGTGGTCACTGACCTCGAGCCAGACATCCTGGAATGTGAAGTCAAATGGATCTTAGGAAATCTGAGCAACAACAAAACTAGTGGAAGTGACAATATTCCAGATGAGCTATTCAAAATCTTAAAAGACAATGCAGTAAAAGAGCTACACTCAATTTGCCAGCATATTTGAAAAACTCAACAATGGCCACAGGATGGGAAAAGGTCAGTTTACATTCCAATTCCAAAGAAGGGCAATGCCAAAGAATGTTTAAACTACCGCATCATTGGACTCATTTCACATTCTAGCAAAGTTATGCTCAAAATCCTACAAGCTAGGTTCCAGCAGTATGTGGACCGAGAACTACCAGAAGTACAGACATGATTTGGAAGAGGAAAAGAAACTAGAGATCAAATTGCCAACATACACTGAATCATGGAGAAAGCTAGGGAGTTCCAGAAAAAACATCTACTTCTGCTTCATTAACTATGCTAAAGTCTTTGATTGTGTGGATCACAACAAATTGTGGCAAGTTCTTAAAGAGATGGGAATACCAGACCATCTTATTTGCATGACCCCCCCTGCGCTCCCCCCTTGTAGCCTCCCATCGTCCAGTGCGATCCCACAGAGTTGGCCTCCTCAGGGTGCCATCGGCCAGTGGTGGCTAGTGACCCCCAGGGGGACAGCCTTCTCTGTGGGAGTGCCTTCCCTCTGGAATGAGCTGTCCCTGGAGCTTCATATAATCCCCGATCTCCGCTCCTTCCGACGTGCCCTAAAAAGTTGGCTTTTCCAGCAAGCCAGCCTGGCC